ACACAGCAAGATAATAACTAAAACTAGACAACATTGAACATTCTTAGCATTGAAGTGCTAAAGGATCTAGTTCAACCGCACGACGATTGTGTGAACCCGCTCTCAATACAATTTACAATTCTTTTACCTATTTGAGCAAGTTGTATTCAAGTACTTTGCTTTACATACGTCGACGGTAAAACTGACACATTTTCGTTGCAAAATACGTGCAGTTAAAGTAACTTTCTTCGTTTTGATCTAAAAAGAAATACCTTTATTCTCAATAGTTCTACTGAACAGTTCCACCGTAGAACTAATGGGACTTTTTGCAAGCCTTGAATGCCTTAAGTAAGAAACAATTCATATACGAAAACCCTTATTATCAGGCCATATAAATTTTATCACTTTGGTAACTGCCCAATTATTTGGATTTTTATGCAACTTTGAACTATATCATTCTTAGTTTTGCATATAAACCTTTTCCTGCTTCTTTTCTGAAGCTGGATAAAAAACGCCACTGTCAGTCGCCACTTATCTACGGCCCAGTGCCTGAACGCTGACAGGGGTCGACGCGGCGATCAGATACTAAGAATGTTCCCAAAACTGTTTAACACCCCTGCCGCCACTAACTTATATTTTGTAGGTTTATGCAAAAAGTTTATGGAAAAACTAGGGCTTGACTTACTTATTACTTAACACTTGAACCTTGATTTTTATCTTCTCTTATAAATGCCTCTTAAACAATCAACTGTTTCAATTGAGATTTCACAAATCATAACTTTTCGCTTGCTGCATTTGAGCAACAAATATTGCTCGACCTATCGAAAACGTCTTAGGCCCGATTCAACCAAAGTTTTATCCGAGAATATCTCCTGGTATAACTGGCACAGTTTCAGTATGGGAAATGTGAAATGTCAAAATGTTGAATTTATTCTGAGATTAATATTTACTCTTGTTTGGTCGAATTCACCCTTAGACAATCGATTGTTTTAACAATTTTGTGATCCCAATTCATATTGCTACAAGCAAATATTGAAACCGTGTTTTTCAATTTCTTAAACTGAAAAAAATCACGATGAAAACTATAGAGAATACGTACTTTATTAGCCATTTGCAACATCTGGTCCGAGCAATAAAGATTTGAAACTATTTTTAGTAAGTTTAAAAACGGTGAAATTTTAATATCATCCAATGTGAAAAATAAAACGTTGATGGACGAGAGTCATCATGGCGGAATAGCGACAAAGAATGCGTACCGAATTTAAACGATGTTGAAAAACGTTTGACAGCTCTGGATATCGTTAAAAGTTAATAATATGATTTTATGTAAGCTTGAAATGATACAGCGATCCGAACGTAATCAAATTAACCCTTCCAGGTAAATATTTTATAAACGTTAAAAGACCGCGATTTTATATGCTTTTCCAGGGTCTATATAAATCCAATAATAACATCATAAGTAAGCTACCTGCTGCTGTCTTTCCTGAACACTATAAACCGGGCCTTTTCGAGGTGAGAGTAAATAGGTACTTACGGGGCAGTTATGTACCATCCTAACCTGCATCTCACTTAACACCAGGTGCGATTGCGGTCAAATACCTGCCTTGTCATGCATACTTTTTTTTAAATCACAAACACTATCTTCAAGTATGTCAGTAAGAATAACCTTCTTAAAAGCATAAAGGAGAAAATTTTCATTTTAGATTTTGATATCATAATTCCATATATTCAACACACATTTATAAAATAACTGAAAATATTGCGTGAAACATAATATAAAGGTTAACTGAAGTATTGAATTTATTCAAACCTCACTTTTAGCGCTAATAGAACTTCGAAACTGATGTTAGTAAATTCTGGGAACAAAATTTAATTATGTACCCAATATTTTACCTTTATTACCTCGACAGCTCTTGTATTGAGAATCGACGAACTTTCTATTTTCACTGCACTAAAGTGACTCTCTTGAAACTAAAATACAAACTGCAAGCAAAGTGTTCAGTAGCAAATTAATATGTAATCAATCAGTGTCATTGTGAACATAAATTTTGAAGTTCATTTTACTGAATTTGAAACTCTCACATAGTGGATTTTAGTTAGGAGAAACCACCAACATTGGAAATTGACATGCCTGCTTTAGTAACGAAGCTAATTTCATTTTATATCTGTAGTCAAAGGAGTTTTGTTACAGATTTTTCTCTAAAATTTTCTGTAATAAAACTGTAAAGTAGAGAGAGTTAGAAGTGAAGAAAATTAAACAAATGATACAACTTGCTTTAAAGTAAGCGCTGTGAAGGTACTGATAAATAATAATAATATATTCATCATACCTAATCATCATCAAGACATGTACATTGTACACCTGTATTCACAAACAATGCTTGCTTATGTGAAGCAGCAAATCGAACGCACAGCGTCGAATAGAGCTCTGTGATTGGTTCGTGTGTGAAGACAGTTCTTGTGCACTGTGAGACCTCATAGTAATGTTTTTGAATACGGGCGGTTTAGTTTCCTTTGCAAAAGTAGACTTGTGTTCTAATCTTAAGAAGGCATGAAGGAACTCCTTTATAAGCCATCTGGCTTACATACACTTCCCATACAACTAAATGCTAATAAAGCTATTATAGGTAACCCTCCAATATCAATGTGGTAGACATTGCTTGAGGGAGATATTGGAGGGTGTTTTTGTTAATGTCAAACGTCAGCGACATCAGATTTTTATGCTCTGTCATATCATAACTATGCCAATGCAATAATTAGACCGACGACAGACGACATCATGAAAGTAGCAGTTAAGGCGCTGGACGCAGGCCGCTACCAACCAGGCAGCATAGAAATCATTGGGGGAGGCCTATGTTCAGCAGTGGACGTCCTATGACTGAGATGATGATGATGATGATGAATAATTAGGCACTGACTGAGTTTACCGCTAGACATCTGTTATTTGAACTACGATTAAAATATACATTTTATTTGCAAACATTAGACACCATCAGTATATCTTTCGACGAAACTTGTTTGAGCAGGGCTACAGCTTGATAAATGATCCTTTTTTATTCAATCCTGGCCTCCGGGCACCCGGATAAGGACACCCGGTGGTCCCGGTTAATCCACACGTGATAGGTGGCCGGCTACCGGGTTTATCCGGATACGTTGTGTGTCCAGTTCCAGTAGGAAGCTATACGTGGTGTGTTGATTTAAAGCCAGCATGGAACAAATCGCGTGTGGGGTAAAGCGCTTTAGCATAAAATACTCACTAGCCTAAGTATCTATTTGTGTCCTTAATGATGTTATTAACACCATTGTTCTTGGGATTATAGGATTCTTGGTGGCCATAGCACAACCAAGCGTAGAATTGGTTAAACCATGATTTAACAGTAGAAAAAAATGCACAGTTATCAATGTAAACACAACATAATTATATTGCTTTTACATCCTAACGCCCGTATTCACAAACAATGCTTGCTTAAGTGAAGCAGAAATTCGAACGCACAGCGTTGAATAAAGCTCTGTGATTGGTTCGTGTGTCACCCTGTGCGTCTACGCGCATTGTGCGACCTGATAGTAATGTTTGTGAATACGGGCGTAAATCATTTTCTAAGTAATTCCACAAATTGTAGACATATAATGCACTTGATAATACAAATAATTTCAATCTTACACTATAAAATAACGATATTACATAATGAAACATAAGTATTTCTCATACTTATTGATGAGCCAAAGATCGCAGAAAATAACCATTACATTGCTTTTATATTGCAACATTGAAATACGTGCGGTCTTTGACATGAAAAAGCTGATAATAAGCACGGGATCACAAGCTTTAAGAGCTTTCGGTCCCTTCAGATTCATGGGCCCGAGAGTACGAGGAAAACGATAATTTTGCCGGCGCGTAATTTTATTCCACGGAGGGTATACTGTGATGTGTGTGGGTGACTCCTTTTTTATCTACTGCTAATTTACAATTGTCCCAATAATATCGCACCCTTCCTGGAATAAGTACGCAAGTGAAAAATGCCAACTTTTCAGGAGCGTAAAAAAACTGTCCTAAAAATTTATTACCATTGTTAAAAATATGTGTTATACATCAAAAGATAGCTAAAAATGTCTGTGAGGGGCCTATGTATTTATATTTAAAATACACTTAATAGGTTTTGAGAAAAACTTAAAAAAGAGCGTTGCGTACTTATTCCGCGAAACAAATTTTAACACTTGTTGTTGTAATTATGAATATTGCATTGTTGACATGTAAAGGAATACTTGCTGTTTGGTATTATTGCTGATAACTATTTATTGGCGTTCAGATTTAGTCGTGCATTCAACGTGTAAGTATGGTTTACGTAGTTTTTCCTCGAACTATTCGTAATGAAATAAATTCGTAAAATGGATTACGTACTTTTACCTTGTGAAATATTACATTACTTATGGTAGTATTTGAAATTATAGCTTTACTAAAAAGGAATTAAGATAAAATATTTTTACGTAACTTTTTTTTATTTTTGTGAAAACTCATTTTTAGGGAAAAGCGAGCTACAAAAGGACTGGTATGTGACACTATGTGATTAGAAGAAATAGGAAGAAGGGAGGTATGCTACAAACTTGCAGCGGGTCAATCTATGCGGTCAAAATATTAATGTAAAAGAAATATCAAAATAAAGCATTATAATAAGTCACATCAAACATTATGCACATCATTTAATCTGCATAAATTTAAATCCCTGACCCAATCAAGTGAGACTAGAACCCACATTCTCGATCATCCGAAGCGACCTCTTTTTATCAGTCAAAATATCAAAATTTTTCCAAAGTTTATTCTTTAATACAGCAACTACTATGAAAGTAAAAATAATTAAGTAGAGTATACAAAAAGTAATAGGCTTTTGGTGAAATAAATAATAATGCATCAATATTAATTAAAACTCTTTATTCTCGTGCAAAATCAACAAGTTATTATCAGGGTAAGTAGTAGGTACCTATTCATCACGATAAAATTATATTTTAAAACGTAAATTAAATTATCAAGAAGAATCATCGTCAGTGATGACATTTATATTGTCCTCAATACTGTTACTGTTACATTGCGGACGCAAATTCATATAAAAGGTTTGATAGTGTGGTGGGATATGATTATCTCTACACAGACTAATTAAATCTTTGTAAAGATTTTCAGATATCGACAGTGGTGCATCATATAATTGTGTCAAAACAGATGGCTCTCCTATATTTTCACTAACTGCTGTTTTCTTTCTCCTTCCGACTCTAATGCAACGATTTGTGTCAACCATTATTGGTGTCTCATCACCAAAATCATATCTTATCAACAGCCTTCCAGGTGACAAAGGATCAACAGAAATCTCTTTTATTTTTGTCCAGTGAATTTTTCCTCCAGACATGTCCTTTGCCCAATTATTATTAGTGGTTATTAGTTTTTTAAAATCCAAAAAATTATCTTGTCTCATCTCTTTGACATTATATCTCTGTCCTTGTACTTTAGCATTTCTGATAATTGCGTAAATTTCATCAGGTACATACAATACATGATTTTTTTTACTTTTTTCAATGCAGGAATGCATGGAGTCACCCTCATTTTGGGTGTGACCTTTTTGCAAAAATCTGTGAGTGATTTTTAGCTTTAATGTTATGGATGCATGAACATATAATGCAAACACAAATCGATTTCTATTTTGCCCGCTGCAATTATCAGAATAAAAAGACACTTCTGTGATCCCTTTATCTGCTTCATCTTGCAAATAGCTCCACAAACAGCTAGCTATCTCGTTTGCCCCTCGTTTTGCAATTGTGGCATGCCAAACATAACAGTAGCCACTTTTAGTCAATATGTTATAAATAGTGAAGTTGTAGACCGGATATTTTCGCTTGTAATGAAATATTCCGACCTCTGACTGAGGCAAGCTCAACACCTTTTCCAAATCGAAACACGCAACTGTTTTTGTTGTTGCATCTGATGTTTTCTTTTCCTCGTCTTTAATTTGTCTAATAAGCTCTTTATTCTTAAGGTGTAGTTCGTAATCTGTTTTTAATTGTTCTTTTCTTTCTGAGTCAGCCTCTTCGTATAAACTGCATGTCTCGCACCTATCCTTTTTAGGCTTAAAAAAACCTATATTAAATTGTGTGCTGAATATATGATAATACCAACGCTCCGTTGCTGCCTTGACATTTAGATATGCTGGATTGTCTTTCATCCAATCCACGTAAAGCCTGTACATTTTAGCACAATTCAGCTTTTCATCCAAATACTCTCTTTGAGTCTGTTTTCGGAGATAATGAGACTCTTTGCGGGGAAACAAATTTATATGATCGATCACACTTTGAGTTGTCTCCTGAGGTATTTTGTTCTGTCTGTTTGTGTGATGGCCTCGTAGATCAGTGATAGTTTGAGTTTGTTGCTTCAGCAAGGCTGTGAATACGGTCCGATCATTTATATCTAAAGTTTGCAAAAACATTTTTTTGCAAACTGTCACTAGATCAATCCCATTTCTCGCTGGTAATGAATATATCAAGGTTTGTGTTCGAGGTCTTGTAGTGTTTAGAACTACAACACGTGTGGGTTTTGTTTTAACATATCTAAGAATAAAGTCCCATTGACGCTCATGGTCTCCCAATTTCCAATAGGTTTCGAATGCTGACATTCTTACAATGTTATCTATCTTTTCAGTGCATTTATTTTTACATGTACATGGATCACCCATAACTTTACCGCTTCTCTCTTTGTTTGTTTTTATCGAATGATACCGTTTACCGGAATTTTTTAACTTCTTATTTTTATTCACTTTCCATGAGCTTTCGTCTCGTAACCGTCTGCGGCTCTGTCGGTTTGGTATTTCTGGTTCAAAATTTTCGTCATTGATATGTATGGTGGACTCTGTTGCAATAAAATCAGGTTCACGTTCGGTCAACATAGAACTAGAGGATTGATCAATTAAAGAAAATGATTCATTATTTTCCATAGATACAGGATCCGTAACTTCAGGATCCGTAACTTCGGGCGAAATCAAATCAATGCTTTCTCGTCCCGAGTTTTTATTTGTTTCACATTTATTTTGTACCGACTGTAATACGTCTTTAAATGAATCAGGAGTAGAAATATTTTTGTGCAGCGAAACTGAAGAAAATGGTGATGTAGCTATGCTCGTATTATCAGAAACCTGTACTGAATTAGACTGTGTTATATTACACTGCACAACAAAATTGCAACTTTTGGCTGATGATTGACTTTCATTACATGATGTTTACTAATTTGACGTCGCTGATTCTGAATCTGCCGTCCATTTTTTCGTAGCAGCTCTTGTTTACGTGTTATAGCTTTCACTCAAAAATTGCTAAATTTCAGTCTTAATTCGCCGACAGTTCAAAAAATACTATGTTTCCTTTGTATAATTTAATATGGTAGCATTAAGAAGTGTTTGTGTGAATTATCTAAATCAATTTTGTTTCATTTGCGGAGAGGATATGTTTAAATAATCCGTTTAAATGTGACAAAGTTCGTAAAATTGGCTTAAAAAAATTAGTTTGGGGACCCAGTGGAAATGAAAGATACGCCTTGAATTCCACAAAAGGCGTGGAAAAGATGCGTTGAGTTTTTACGTTTATAAACAAATAAGAATATGTGTAGATTTAGGTACGAAACCGCTATGATCTGAAAGGAACCCTTGAACCATCGCGACGACTGTTATTTTTATTTTTGAACGAAAATGGTATTAACCAAAAAATATTGAACTAAATAGTAATTCCTTGCATACGTTTGGCATGTAGACGTCTTTTCAACCCTAAGAAGTCACCTGAACCTCATGTTGATACTTCACATGAGGATTTTGAGGCGAAAACTGTTTTTTTTTGGAAAATCCGAAATAATCTTACTATTCTTACACATCGAACAACGTATGAGTCACATACAAACATGTTTTTTTGGTTGGTAATATAAACATCGAATTACACTCTCTTCGCAATCACCTGAACAATTTTATCACAACTCTTAAGGATCTAAGTGAAGAACATGGCGAGCAAATCCACCAGGGCCTTCGTACGATAGAGGGACGCTATCAGGGCCACTGGAATGCACACATGATGGCTGACTGCTGTTGAATCATTCAGAAAAGCTGTCTGCCTTCAGCATCAGCAAGGAAGTCAAATAAAAGAATGTTTTTTCAACTTAACAACTTCATAAAATAGGATCATCTCTAAAAAAAGAGTGTTTTTTTACAAAAAGACCCAAGTGTCATATTTTTTTAACCAGAGCTGATACAGATATTTCAATCACAGATTTGAAATCGTCATTAAAAATTGGACTAATATCATGTAACATAACCCAATCATCAGAAATGCTGTTGTGCAGTGTTATTATTATCTGAAAGTAAAGGGCTCTTTGATAAGTCGCCCTCATTTTCTTCCCACACGTTTTCGTATTCAATTGCGGTTTGACAAATTGATGCTGCTAGACCCATTTTTCTATATGGCCCTCTTTTTCTGGTGTTTAGTTCAATGCTTTCATCAGAATCGGAAGAATCAGACGTTGACGTTGGATTGTATACAGACACAACGGGGGAAAATGGCTCTTCTAAGTCTTCATACACGTCATCTTCATGTTGCTGTACAATATCCTGGCGACGTCGTTTTAGTGGCGTTCCGGTAAATAATTCATCTCCGTCACTCCGTTTTGATATGTCTCGAGTTGGTGAACCTGTAAAAATAAGCAGTTTTTAACTATTATTAAAAGTAGCTTGATTATAATTACATAAAGAGTATGTAACGGTAAAAAGTTAAGTAAAACTACCAGGATTATTTTTGTAGTGCAGTCGCTTGCACTAAATCTTCGACATTAATAAGATACGATGCCCATTGACCGGCGCGCGGCGGAGCGCGTCGGAGCGCACTTACACGGCCGTAAAGAAAATAGTATTTTATTAACAGTTCTTAGAGTCGTAATTTCTTACAACTGATTAACTGACATTTCAATTCGGACGAACATGAATGTCAGTTAATCAGTTGTAAGCAATTACGACTCTAAGAACTGTTAATAAAATACTACCTATTTTCTTTACGGCCGTGTAAGTGCGCTCCGACGCACTCCGCCGCGCGCCGGTCAATGGGCATCGTACTTAGTTAAAATAAAATAAATATCCTTGGACATTTTAACACTGCGCAGCTAGCCCCAAACTAAGCAAAGCTTCTGCTATGGGTACTAGACAACGGATATAAACATACTTAAATACTTTTTTTTGTAAATACATACATTATTATACATAGAAAACACCCAGACCCGTCACAGAAATTAAATTCAACATTTAAATTTCTGCCCGGCCGGGAATCGAACCCGGGACCTCTCGGCATAGTAGTCCGTTCTGAACTACTACACCAAACGGCCGGCTAAAAAAATAGGTGGAAAACATTTTCAGAATTGGATAGCCAAAAGTTCTGTTACCCGTATAGGTACTAATAATAATTCATAAAATAAAATAATTTTCTTAAAAATTGTATTGGGTGGGTTTTATAAATAAATAAATATCCTTGGACATTCTTACACTACGCTTCTAGTCCCAAACTAAGCAAAGCTTGTACTATGGGTACTAGACAACAGATATAAACATACTTAAATACTTTTTTTTTGTAAATACATACCTACATATTATACATAGAAACACCCAGACCAATCACAGAAAATAAAATACATCATTTCAATTTCTGCCCGGCCGGGAATCAATCCCGGGACCTCTCGGCATAGTAGTCCGTTCCAAACCACTGCACCAAACGGCCGACATATTATAAAAATTGAAAAAAGTAGAAACCAGTAACAAGGCCAATGCTGCACAAACCCAATACCTAGTCCTATAATATAGGGATAGGTATTGGGTTTGTGTAACATTAGCCTAGTTACAGTCTTTACTTTAAACAATTTTTAATAATGCATGTGTTAATTAAATTATCATCAGTAACAAACCTGTACTGTAATCTTTCTCATTCAATCCAGGTCTTGATGCAGGAGAATCTGTAGACTTGTTATCTTGTCGATTATCTGTAGATGTAGAAGACAATAATTATTATTAAATTTAATGTCGAATTTTATTTTTATAAATGATTTTTATTTTATTATTTATTTTATTTATTCACCATATTGAGCTGAGAAAACAGGAGATAAGATAACCACATTATACTAGTAACTAGGCCAATAAAATGCTGCACAAACCCAATACCTAGTCCTATCATAGGAATAGGTATTGGGTTTGTGTAGCATTGGCCTAGTTGCAGTCTCTACTTTTCACAATAATTTTTAATAATGCATGTGTTATTAATTAGATTATAATTAGTAACAAACCTGTACTGTTATAATCTTTCTCATTTAATCCAGGTCTTGATGCAGGTGAATCTGTAGACTTGTTATCTTGTCGATTATCTGTAGATGTAGAAGACAATATTGTTGAATGATATGAATTTTATTTTATTTACCATGCTGAGCTGAGAAGAGGATAATACCACAGTAGATAGTGTAGAAGAGTACCTACGTGTATTTTGTTTATAAAGGTCTTTACTTCATCATAAATAAAGTGGAAATATTTCTATTGTTTGTTTATTGAATAGGCTCCGAAACTACTAAACAGATTTAAAAACGTTTTCATCATTAGAATCCTATATTTTTTTCTACTGAACATAGACTATAAGATATTTCCAAAAAAGTTAGTCAAAAACTTTCGATTATAAACTTTTGCCCGCGGCTTCACCCGCGTGAAATTTCGTTTGTCACAGATCTTCATAAATTATGGCCTATATGTTATTCTGGGTTATGCACAAAGTAAAGTTTCATCAAAATCCGCTCAGTAGTTTTTCATCCAGACATCAAAACTTTCGCATTTATAATATTAGTAGGATATAAATAAATAAATTTAGGTAGTCAGTCGGTCAGTCAGGATGCGGGCAGCGCAGAAGCAGTCGTTATAGAAATCCTTGGGGGAGGCCTTTGTCCAGCAGTGGATGTCATTTGACTGAAACGAACGAACGAATTTAGTCAGTAATTTTCTTAAAAAATATTTCTCATTGTCAAACATTAATACGTTCAGAAATTAATAGGTATTTCGATTTGTATAGATAAGATCGATAAGCTAAGACAACTTTTTATCGGCGGTACGAAGTTCGCTGGGTCAGCTAGTAGGTAATGAACAAATCTACTGTGATAATAGGTACTGTCAGAGGTAAGATAGACATGCGATACCCGTGGACCTACTGCTTAGTCCTACGGGTTGAACCGCGGGAAAAAAATGCAGGTGTACCATTTATAAATTCGAAATAAGCATGTATGAAAAGTCTTGAACAGTGCATCAATAGGAATAGAGTGTAGTAAGCCAGAATATGCAGTTCCCAATATGAATTTATTTAACATAGCTATTTTAAGAACCAATCCTGAGTAGATAAATGAAATAATTAGTAAGTTTTAGGCAAAAAAACACCATTGGAATACAGCCACAGTCACTAGATGAATTAACGGTTAGTAGGCAAGCATCTTTTTAGTAGAAATCTTATCACACCATGCCACACACCATTACCTACAGACTTACTATTATCTCTGCTCGTGTGGTGAGACTGAACCTCGTAAAACAAAACACATAATCAAAATTATTAAAACATACTCGTAATATTGTTTTGTTTCTAAATAATTCTTATTTAAGGACTACAGTGAATAATAATTATTGTTTTGATCTGCCCAGAGATCGAACCCGGGACCTCGTCCTCAAGTGACGATGGCGATGTTCTCACCAGTGCCACACCGAGACATTAAATTTCTTAATGATTTAATAATTAGATAAACACATAAACTTACCTTTTTCAACGATAATGTTATCCAAATTCAGCATACGCCTCACCCGTGGATTTTTTATCTTTTCTCTCAAACGGCGTCGTAATATTTCATCATCCATTGTCAGAGTTATACCACAAATACACTTAATTACGAACGTACGGAGCAATAACGTAAACACACTACGAACGCAAGCGCAAACGCACGACTAGTTGATTTCTTTCCACGACTCAAGGGGCCCGAAACGGGAGATGAGGTGGGACTCGCGCGGTATACCCTCCCCTCCCCGTGCAATAACAGCAAAGAACATAAATCGAACTGTTACTTTTAGGTGGAAATAAATATGTTTCGTTAATTACGACACTTAAATTAATTGCCTGTTTTACTTAATTGTTTTTACGTCATGAAACTTACAAAAAAACTTACAAGAATATGTAACTTTCATTAATTACGAAACTTTAAAAAAAAAACTTAATGGAGAACTTAGCTATTTCTCTAATTAACGTCTAAATAATTTCCAAAGTCTGTTTAGAAAAAATACGTATCAATAGTTACAAAATACAATATCGACAAAAGTTTCGTGGAAGAATTAAGCAACTGGACTTGCATAATGGTACCTCTCAACTCTCCATAGAAAAATAATGTATCAATAGTTACAAAATACAATGTCGACAAAAGTTTCGTGGAAAAACTAAGCAACTAAACTTGCACTACGATACCCACCAAATAATATCCTAAAACAAGTATGCATCTATAGTTATGGGAAAATATTTTTTAAAGTCTTCGTGGAAGATGTATGCAAATATAAATATGCTATTAGTCACACGGAACTTTAGTAAATAATTAAGTGCAAATGTATTTACTTCGTTTTTGCTATGGACAATTATATATTTTAATGTTGCAATATTTTACATATTTCTACATAATTTCTTCATTTTTAAGAGAAAAATTATGAAAAAAATTGACAATATGTATTACTTTCTTCTTCATTTTTTAGTGCAATAAAAAAAATATCGCACAAGTGGACTTACATACTTGTTCCAGGGGGGGTGCGATATACTCGTAGACTTATGTTTTATAAAATAGTAGATGTAATTCTAAAAATTCAACATTACTACACGTGTCGTTTGAACGTGGCTGTAATTATTATTTTAACTCTATCAACTAAGTTTTGTGGTTTAAAACGAAATCATTTTTGAAATTTTCCAGAGTCCTTGATTCTTTTAGCTTATACAAACTATGTTTATACTAAATAGGTGTACAAATAATTTCATTGTTACAGATATTTTCAAAATAAAGTTTCGACCCTAATCTACGGCTTTTAGTATTTGTTTAAAGCTTTAATTTTAACGAGTAAGTAGGACGAGGAACCCTTAATAAACAAAAATAAAGAGTAAGGCTTTCTCTTTCTTTTTGTGTACTTACCAGATTAGGTATAATCGACGGGTTCATCCAGTGTCTAAGTAGCTCAGTTGGAAGAGCAGTCGCCCGGCAAGCGAAAGGTCGTGGGTTCAATTCACGCCTTAGGCAGTTCGATTTTTTCAAGTTATTTATAATTTTCAAAATAGGTTTAATAGGAATTAAAAATCAAATTCTATTTATAATTAACTACTTGACTAAAGAGGACCAGCCCTACATTTTAGATATAACAAACTAAAACTAACCTATAAAGCTCTTATTCAGCCATATAATCATTTCCTATGTGTACATAACCTACTTAAAAGTAATCAATCTACATCAGACACTGTTGGACAAAGTTTCCCCAACCCTTCCATCTTAAAGCAAACATCTATTGAACGTTGAGGCAAGAAAAATATCTGGAGGAGTAAGTTGCCGAACCCGTAAAAATTAAATTAGGATGTTGTTACCGCCAGGGAGAGGTGAGTGGCCCTCGGCTATAGGTAACTGAGGATTATAGAAGCTGCAATAGATACCAATATCTACTTTTTTTTTTCAAAGAAAAAATATCAAAATATAATTATTAGACTACAGTTTTAGGTAAGTATCAATGAAACATAAGCTTATGACTAGTGGATAGTATTTATTGAGTCATGTCATGTACAGTCAAGGAATGAAAAGGTTCGTCAGTTTTCAAATTGATTCCTTCAACGAATCGCGATCACATATTACCTTTTGAAACTATGTTACAGAATAATCTCGAGTTAGAGAAAATAATCTTTAACTGTTCGTCAGTAAAGTTCAAAATTATTCAGATCAAAGTTGTTTGACGATTTAACTTGTCAAGAAGATTATTGTGATTGATAAACTAAAACCTTCTTGTTGGTTCAACCTGCCATTATCTATTAAATAAAAAAAAACTACATTTTGTAACATTGCACTGATGGGATAGAAAAATAAACAAGCAAAACCTTATTCGTTAGCAAACGTATTATTTATTTAAATGTTAGCAGCAATGTTTCTTGCACGGTTATGTTGGCAGGTTTGATTCTTACTGTACCTAGTGCAAGCGAAAACCGGCACTAAGGTGACGAACATTTTCATTCCGCGACTGTACATACATAAAAGGCACTCTATGAGGACAGATGCGACTTACAATCTTTCAAGAATAGAGCGTATTACACTTTTTTCTTTCATGCAAAACAAGGCAATTATTTGGCCACAATCACACATGATGTTAAGTGGGATGTAGTCTTGTCTACATTGAAGGCCGCCAACGCACCTGTAACGCCCTCGGCCTACGGGTGTCTATGGGCGACGGCAATCATTTACCATCAGGTGATCCGTCTGCTCGTTTGCCTCCTATCGCATAAAAATGCTGACTCGAACCAAAGGATGTACTGACCGCAACTTCGGTCACATTTTGATAACGTCCTAATCTTACTCCCGTATTCACAAACGATGCTTGATAGGTGAAGCCGCAAATCGAACGCACAGCGTTGAATAGGGCTCTATGATTTCTTCGTGTATCACCCCGTACGTCCACGCGCACTGTGAGACCTCAAAGTAATGTTTGTGAGTAAGTTTTGTTTCTTTTATCTTCTGGTACCAAATAAATGTTTTCTTTCATTCGTTCAATATAAATCAGAAATGCGATTCCGTATTTCAGAGTAAATTCTGGGTAAATATGTTCATATTAATAGCTTCGTAAATACGGAAGATGGATCTAGTATTATTTGACAAATGCTACTTTACCATATACCAAGGATATTTGTTATGTCTTTAAGCTTTAAGCCATAAATGCCTTTGGATTGTGATTGAATAAAATAAAATAAACTGTCTAGAAACTTTACAAAAACACTACCTTGATAAATATCTAGAACTAGATATCCAATCTAGCAGCATTATCTCTGTAGGCAAATAAAACCAAAGAAAACAGCTTTCAAACCAATAAATAATAGAGCATTTTGCGATTCTAGAAGTACTTAGTTACATCATTAAATCATGTAAAAATGTACGTACTATAACTAATTCTATGTTTGAGAGTCCTCCACCTGGACATGAGCTGCCCTGGCTTAACTGGAAGTCTTTATTAGACTTCGGACGCAGGTTGGCCGTAGTAAGGACAATCTGGTCAGGTGAGGATTTTTGGATGGCTCAAACATGGGAGTGCAGGTGCGTTTTTGTTCCCCAGTCGATGAAGCACATGGTGTCGTGCCCTGAGTGCCCGAGCAACTGCACTCAGGAGGATTAAATGAATGCTGCTGACAACGCCACTCTTGTAGCGGAGTTTTGGGCTGAAATTGTTTAGGTTTGTTGTGGACACGATCAGAAGAAGAAGAAAAAATTCTATTCGATTTCAGAGACTAATTTGTCTATGTTCTTCGTCTTTACATAGATCCAATAAAAGCTCGCAGAAGCTAATAATAATACCTTTGTACAAACAACTTCATTAATGAAAAAAATACTTATTGGGCCGTAATATTATTACGTAAGTTAAATTTCGGCAGAATTGACGATAGCTTCGATGTTTAAGTACTTATTGTTGTACATTAATTGGGCATTTCAGGAATTAAAAATTCAACTTATAAAAAAGTTAGTTCTTATGTAGAACTTTTACTGACAACTTTTACTTTTAAATTCAGGGAATAAAATGTGAATAATAGAAACAACGTTGTGAATAGAAGAGACGAGATTTTTATCACATCTATTAAATTATGAATCCATAAAATTATAGTTTATTTATTTGTAACATCTTTAAATTGAGTAATCGAAATTCTTAGAAACAAAACATGATTAATTACCAAGAATATTTATTTACACAAACAAAGAAAAAAGAAATGTTTGTACCAACTCCTCGATGTATTGGATAAGTACAAAACAAGCGTACGTTTCAATAACATTAAGTAAATAGAGATAAATTTATTCATTATATTCATCCGTGCTCATGTGTCTTACGTGTGCCGAAATTGTACGCTTGTTATGCGTACGGTTGTGCTGAACCATATACAAAGTGTGCCCATTTGATTTACAAGTAGGTAGGTATTATGCAAAGTTATCATAAAGGAGGTGGATTACTGAAAAAGATTTGTCACAACCTACTTCGAACGATAGCACACACTGGCCTGTCTATTGCTTTTTATTTCATACCGGCTGTCTTTTATTTTTTAGATGAATGGACACATTTTCATAAAGGAGGTGATTAACTAATAAATTGATGTTACAACCTGCTTTGAACCGTTCCGGTCGTGGCTAAACGTAAACCGCAAAAGCCAAGGGAAAAAAAACTTGCTTTGAGCGACACACACTGGCCGATGGAGTGACAATTAAAAATTATATCGACTATCTTTTGTTTTTTAAATGAATGGAGACATTATCTTGAAGGATATGATTTACTGATTGCTGTTACAACCTGCTTCGAGCGTAAGCACACGCTAGCCGATGAAATGACATTAAGAATAATATCCACTACCTTTTGTTTTTTTTATATTAATGGACACAATATCATAAAGGAGGTGACTTACTGGTAAAAGCACACACTGACCTTCTGTCTATTGTTTTTTATTTCATACCGGCTGTCTTTTGTCTTTTTAGATGAATGGACATTGGACACATTTTCATAAAGGAGGTGACTAGCTAATAAATTGCTGTTACAACCTACTTCCAGCAATAGCGCATATAGGCCAATGGAATTGCTTTTAATAATCATACCGGCTCTTTTAT